GTCTACGAGCGGTTCATCGCTAGTTCTAGTCGCTCAGGAGGGTTTGAACAGTCGGACAGCAATATGTTCATTGTGTGTGGTCTGGGCTCAGTGGTGGGGGTGGGGTGTTGTGTGTGTGGGTTGGGCTCAGTGGTGGGTGGGGTGTGTGTGGGTTGGGCTCAAGTGTGGGGTGGGGTGTGTGTGAGCTCAGTGTGGGGTGGGGTGTGTGTGAGCTCAGTGTGGGGTGGGGTGTGTGTGGGTTGGGCTCAGTGTGGGGTGGGTGGGGTGTGTGTGAGCTCAGTGTGGGGTGGGTGTGTGTGAGCTCAGTGTGGTGTGTGTGAGCTCAGTGTGGGGTGGGGTGTGTGTGAGCTCAGTGTGGGGTGGGGTGTGTGTGGGCTGGGCTCAGTGTGGGGTGGGGTGTGTGTGTGTGAGCTCGGTGTGGGGTGGGGTGTGTGGGGTTGGGCTCAGTGTGGGGTGGGGTGTGTGTGTGTGTGTGAGCTCAGTGTGGGGTGGGGTGTGTGTGGGTTGGGCTCAGTGTGGGGTGGGGTGTGTGTGTGTGAGCTCAGTGTGGGGTGGGGTGTGTGTGGTCTGGGCTCCGTGTGGGCTGGTGTGGCTCAGTGTGGGGTGGGGTGTGTGTGGGTTGGGCTCAGTGTGGGGTGGGGTGTGTGTGGGTTGGGCTCAGTGTGGGGGGGGTGTGTGTGGGTTGGGCTCAGTGTGGGGTGGGGTGTGTGTGGGTTGGGCTCAGTGTGGGGTGGGTGTGTGTGGGTTGGGCTCAGTGTGGGGTGGGGTGTGTGTGGGTTGGGCTCAGTGTGGGGTGGGGGTGTGTGGCTCAGTGTGGGTGGGGTGTGTGTGGGTTTGGCTCAGTGTGGGGTGGGGTGGTGGTGGGGTGTGTGTGGGCTGGGCTCAGTGTGTGGTGTGTGTGGGTTTGGCTCAGTGTGGGGTGGGGTGTGTGTGGGTTGGGCTCAGTGTGGGGTGGGGTGTGTGTGGGTTGGGCTCAGTGTGGGGTGGGGTGTGTGTGGGTTGGGCTCAGTGTGGGGTGGGGTGTGTGTGGGTTGGGCTCAGTGTGGGGTGGGGTGTGTGTGGGTTGGGCTCAGTGTGGGGTGGGGTGTGTGTGGGCTCAGTTTGGGGTGGGGTGTGGGCTGGGCTCAGTGTGGGGTGGGATGTGTGTGGGTTGGGCTCAGTGTGGGGGTGGGGTGTGTGTGAGCTCAGTGTGGGGTGGGGTGTGTGTGGATTGGGCTCAGTGTGGGGTGGGGTGTGTGTGAGCTCAGTGTGGGGTGGGGTGTGTGTGGGCTGGGCTCAGTGTGGGGTGTGTGTGGGTTGGGCTCAGTGTGGGGTGAGGTGTGTGTGGGTTGGGCTCAGTGTGGGGTGGGGTGTGTGTGGGTTGGGCTCAGTGTGGGGTGGGGTGTGTGGGTTGGGCTCAGTGTGGGGTGTGTGTGGGTTGGGCTCAGTGTGGGGTGGGGTGAGTGTGGGCTGGGCTCATTGTGGGGTGTGTGTGGGCTGGGCTCAGTGTGGGGTGGGGTGTGTGTGTGTGGGCTCAGTGTGGGGTGGGGTGTGTGTGGGCTGGGCTCAGTGTGGGGTGGGGTGTGTGTGGGCTCAGTGTGGGGTGGGGTGTGTGTGGGCTCAGTGTGGGGTGGGGTATGTGTGCGCTGGGCTCAGTGTGGGGTGGGGTGTGTGTGGGCTCAGTGTGGGGTGGGGTGTGTGTGGGCTGGGCTCAGTGTGGGGTGTGTGTGGGCTGGGCTCAGTGTGGGGTGGGGTGTGTGTGGGCTCAGTGTGGGGTGGGGTGTGTGTGGCCTCAGTGTGGGCTGGGGTGTGTGTGGGCTGGGCTCAGTGTGGGCTGGGCTGAGTGTGGGCTGGGCTCAGTGTGGGGTGGGGTGTGTGTGGGGTGGGGTGTGTGTGGGCTCAGTGTGGGGTGGGGTGTGTGTGTGGGCTCAGTGTGGGGTGGGGTGTGTGTGGGTTGGGCTCAGTGTGGGGTGGGGTGTGTGTGGGCTCAGTGTGGGGTGGGCTCAGTGTGGGGCGGGGTGTGTGTGGGCTCAGTGTGGGGCGGGGTGTGTGTGGGCTCAGTGTGGGGCGGGGTGTGTGTGGGCTCAGTGTGGGGCGGGGTGTGTGTGGGCTCAGTGTGGGGTGGGGTGTGTGTGGGCTCAGTGTGGGGTGGGGTGTGTGTGGGCTCAGTGTGGGGTGGGGTGTGTGTGTGTGGGCTCAGTGTGGGGTGGGGTGTGTGTGGGCTCAGTGTGGGGTGGGGTGTGTGTGAGCTCAGTGTGGGGTGGGGTGTGTGTGTGGGGGCTCAGTGTGGGGTGGGGTGTGTGTGTGTGGGCTCAGTGTGGGGTGGGGTGTGTGTGGGCTCAGTGCGGGGTGGGGTGTGTGTGGGCTCAGTGTGGGGTGGGGTGTGTGTGGGCTCAGTGTGGGGTGGGGTGTGTGTGGGCTCAGTGTGGGGTGGGGTGTGTGTGGGCTCAGTGTGGGGTGGGGTGTGTGTGGGCTCAGTGTGGGGTGGGGTGTGTGTGTGTGGGCTCAGTGTGGGGTGGGGTGTGTGTGGGCTCAGTGTGGGGTGGGGTGTGTGTGAGCTCAGTGTGGGGTGGGGTGTGTGTGTGTGGGCTCAGTGTGGGGTGGGGTGTGTGTGTGTGGGCTCAGTGTGGGGTGGGGTGTGTGTGGGCTCAGTGTGGGGTGGGGTGTGTGTGGGCTCAGTGTGGGGTGGGGTGTGTGTGGGCTCAGTGTGGGGTGGGGTGGTGTGTGTGGGCTCAGTGTGGGGTGGGGTGTGTGTGGGCTCAGTGTGGGGTGGGGTGTGGGTGGGGTGTGTGTGTGTGGGCTCAGTGTGGGGTGGGGTGTGTGTGTGTGGGCTCAGTGTGGGGTGGGGTGTGTGTGGGCTCAGTGTGGGGTGGGGTGTGTGTGGGCTCAGTGTGGGCTGGGGTGTGTGTGGGCTGGGGTGTGTGTGTGTTGGGCTCAGTGTGGGCTGGGGTGTGTGTGGGGTGGGGTGTGTGTGGGCTGGGCTCAGTGTGGGGTGGGGTGTGTGTGGGCTGGGCTCAGTGTGGGGTGGGGTGTGTGTGGGCTCAGTGTGGGGTGGGGTGTGTGTGTGTTGGGCTCAGTGTGGGGTGGGGTGTGTGTGGGCTGGGCTCAGTGTGGGGTGGGGTGGTGTGGCTCAGTGTGGGGTGGGGTGTGTGTGGTGTGGGCTCAGTGTTGGGTGGGGTGTGTGTGGGCTCAGTGTGGGGTGGGGTATGTGTGGGCTCAGTGTGGGGTGGGGTGTGTGTGGGCTCAGTGTGGGGTGGGGTGTGTGTGAGCTCAGTGTGGGGTGGGGTGTGTGTGGATTGGGCTCAGTGTGGGGTGGGGTGTGTGTGAGCTCAGTGTGGGGTGGGGTGTGTGTGGGCTGGGCTCAGTGTGGGGTGTGTGGGTTGGGCTCAGTGTGGGGTGAGGTGTGTGTGGGTTGGGCTCAGTGTGGGGTGGGGTGTGTGTGGTTGGGCTCAGTGTGGGGTGGGGTGTGTGGGTTGGGCTCAGTGTGGGGTGGTGTGGGTTGGGCTCAGTGTGGGGTGGGGTGAGTGTGGGCTGGGCTCATTGTGGGGTGTGTGTGGGCTGGGCTCAGTGTGGGGTGGGGTGTGTGTGTGTGGGCTCAGTGTGGGGTGGGGTGTGTGTGGGCTGGGCTCAGTGTGGGGTGGGTGTGTGTGGGCTCAGTGTGGGGTGGGGTGTGTGTGGGCTCAGTGTGGGGTGGGGTATGTGTGCGCTGGGCTCAGTGTGGGGTGGGGTGTGTGTGGGCTCAGTGTGGGGTGGGGTGTGTGTGGGCTGGGCTCAGTGTGGGGTGTGTGTGGGCTGGGCTCAGTGTGGGGTGGGGTGTGTGTGGGCTCAGTGTGGGGTGGGGTGTGTGTGGCCTCAGTGTGGGGTGGGGTGTGTGTGGGCTGGGCTCAGTGTGGGCTGGGGTGAGGCTGGGCTCAGTGTGGGCTGGGGTGTGTGTGGGCTGGGGGTGTGTGTGGGCTCAGTGTGGGGTGGGGTGTGTGTGTGGGCTCAGTGTGGGTGGGGTGTGTGTGGGTTGGGCTCAGTGTGGGGTGGGGTGTGTGTGGGCTCAGTGTGGGGTGGGCTCAGTGTGGGGCGGGGTGTTGTGGCTCAGTGTGGGGCGGGGTGTGTGTGGGCTCAGTGTGGGGCGGGGTGTGTGTGGGCTCAGTGTGGGGCGGGGTGTGTGTGGGCTCAGTGTGGGGTGGGGTGTGTGTGGGCTCAGTGTGGGGTGGGGTGTGTGTGGGCTCAGTGTGGGGTGGGGTGTGTGTGTGTGGGCTCAGTGTGGGGTGGGGTGTGTGTGGGCTCAGTGTGGGGTGGGGTGTGTGTGAGCTCAGTGTGGGGTGGGGGTGTGTGTGTGGGGGCTCAGTGTGGGGTGGGGTGGTGTGTGTGTGGGCTCAGTGTGGGGTGGGGTGTGTGTGGGCTCAGTGCGGGGTGGGGTGTGTGTGGGCTCAGTGTGGGGTGGGGTGTGTGTGGGCTCAGTGTGGGGTGGGGTGTGTGTGGGCTCAGTGTGGGGTGGGGTGTGTGGGGCTCAGTGTGGGGTGGGGTGTGTGTGGGCTCAGTGTGGGGTGGGGTGTGTGTGTGTGGGCTCAGTGTGGGGTGGGGTGTGTGTGGGCTCAGTGTGGGGTGGGGTGTGTGTGAGCTCAGTGTGGGGTGGGGTGTGTGTGTGTGGGCTCAGTGTGGGGTGGGGTGTGTGTGTGTGGGCTCAGTGTGGGGTGGGGTGTGTGTGGGCTCAGTGTGGGGTGGGGTGTGTGTGGGCTCAGTGTGGGGTGGGGTGTGTGTGGGCTCAGTGTGGGGTGGGGTGTGTGTGTGTGGGCTCAGTGTGGGGTGGGGTGTGTGTGGGCTCAGTGTGGGGTGGGGTGTGGGGTGGGGTGTGTGTGTGTGGGCTCAGTGTGGGGTGGGGTGTGTGTGTGTGGGCTCAGTGTGGGGTGGGGTGTGTGTGGGCTCAGTGTGGGGTGGGGTGTGTGTGGGCTCAGTGTGGGCTGGGGTGTGTGGGCTGGGGTGTGTGTGTGTTGGGCTCAGTGTGGGCTGGGGTGTGTGTGGGGTGGGGTGTGTGTGGGCTGGGCTCAGTGTGGGGTGGGGTGTGTGTGGCTGGGCTCAGTGTGGGTGGGGTGTGTGTGGGCTCAGTGTGGGGTGGGGTGTGTGTGTGTGGGCTCAGTGTGGGGTGGGGTGTGTGTGGGCTGGGCTCAGTGTGGGGTGGGGTGTGTGTGGGCTCAGTGTGGGGTGGGGTGTGTGTGTGTGGGCTCAGTGTTGGGTGGGGTGTGTGTGGGCTCAGTGTGGGGTGGGGTATGTGTGGGCTCAGTGTGGGGTGGGGTATGTGTGGGCTCAGTGTGGGGTGGGGTGTGTGTGGGCTCAGTGTGGGGTGTGTGTGGGCTGGGCTCAGTGTGGGGTGGGGTGTGTGTGGGCTCAGTGTGGGGTGTGTGTGGGCTCAGTGTGGGTGGGGTGTGTGTGGGCTCAGTGTGGGGTGGGGTGTGTGTGTGTGGGCTCAGTGTGGGGTGGGGTGTGTGTGGGCTCAGTGTGGGGTGTGTGTGGGCTCAGTGTGGGGTGGGGTGTGTGTGTGTGGGCTCAGTGTGGGGTGGGGTGTGTGTGGGCTCAGTGTGGGGTGTGTGTGGGCTCAGTGTGGGGTGGGGTGTGTGTGGGCTCAGTGTGGGGTGGGGTGTGTGTGGGCTCAGTGTGGGGTGGGGTGTGTGTGGGCTCAGTGTGGGGTGGGGTGTGTGTGGGCTCAGTGTGGGGTGGGGTGTGTGTGGGCTCAGTGTGGGGTGGGGTGTGTGTGGGCTCAGTGTGGGGTGGGGTATGTGTGTAAAGGCTTCCTCTCCCCAATGTGGGTCACATATATCTATCAGATAGATCATAAGTGTAGAAAACTTTGCCAATGGATATAACATGGAGCCTAGTAATAATCCCTCCAAAAACCCAAAACAATAATAAATTGGTCATTTTCAATCTACGACTGTTTGTGGGACATTGCTGTGCGCAATTGGCTGCCGCGTTCGCCCACAAATATACAGTCAATTCACTTTACAGTGTCTTCTGTGAAGCGCTTTGGGATGTCCTCCCGACGTGAAAAGCGCTATATCAAATGCAAGGATTGTTGTATTGTTGTTGTTGTTGTTGTGTGGGCTGGACTCAGTGTGGGGTGGGGTGTGTGTGGGTTGGGCTCAGTGTGGGGTGGGGTGTGTGTGGGCTCAGTGTGGGGTGGGGTGTGTGTGGGCTGGGCTCAGTGTGGGGTGGGTTGTGTGTGGGGTGGGGTGTGTGTGGGGTGGGGGTTGTGTGGGCTCAGTGTGGGGTGTGTGTGGGCTCAGTGTGGGGTGGGGTGTGTGTGGGCTCAGTGTGGGGTGGGGTGTGTGTGGGCTCAGTGATGGGTGGGGTGTGTGTGGGCTCAGTGTGGGGTGGGGTGTGTGTGGGCTCAGTGTGGGGTGGGGTGTGTGTGGCTCAGTGTGGGTGGGGTGTGTGTGGGCTCAGTGTGGGGTGGGGTGTGTGTGGGCTGGGCTCAGTGTGGGGTGGGGTGTGTGTGGGGTGGGGTGTGTGTGGGCTGGGCTCAGTGTGAGGTGGGGTGTGTGTGGGCTCAGTTTGGGGTGGGGTGTGTGTGGGCTCAGTGTGGGGTGTGTGTGAGCTCAGTGTGGGGTGGGGTGTGTGTGGGCTCAGTGTGTGGTGGGGTGTGTGTGGGCTCAGTTTGGGGTGGGGTGTGTGTGGGCTCAGTGTGGGGTGTGTGTGAGCTCAGTGTGGGGTGGGGTGTGTGTGGGCTGGGCCAGTGTGGGGTGGGGTGTGTGTGGGCTCAGTGTGGGGTGGGGTGTGTGTGGGCTCAGTGTGGGGTGTGTGTGGGCTCAGTGTGGGGTGGGGTGTGTGTGGGCTCAGTGTGGGGTGGGGTTTGTGTGGGCTCAGTGTGGGTGTGTGTGGGCTCAGTTTGGGGTGTGTGTGGGCTCAGTGTGGGGTGGGGTGTGTGTGGGCTCAGTGTGGGGTGTGTGTGGGCTCAGTGTGGGTGTGGGTGTGTGTGGGCTCAGTGTGGGGTGTTGTGGGCTCAGTGTGGCTGGGGTGTGTGTGGGCTCAGTGTGGGGTGTGTGTGGCTCAGTGTGGGGTGTGTGTGGCTCAGTGTGGGTGTGTGTGGGCTCAGTGTGGGGTGTGTGTGGGCTCAGTGTGGGCTGGGGTGTGTGTGGGCTCAGTGTGGGGTGTGTGTGGGCTCAGTGTGGGGTGTGTGTGGGCTCAGTGTGGGGTGTGTGTGGGCTCAGTGTGGGGTGTGTGTGGGCTCAGTGTGGGGTGTGTGTGGGCTCAGTGTGGGGTGTGTGTGGGCTCAGTGTGGGGTGTGTGTGGGCTCAGTGTGGGGTGTGTGTGGGCTCAGTGTGGGGTGTGTGTGGGCTCAGTGTGGGGTGTGTGTGGGCTCAGTGTGGGGTGGTGGGTGTGTGTGGGCTCAGTGTGGGGTGTGTGTGGCTCAGTGTGGGGTGGGGTGTGTGTGGGCTCAGTGTGGGGGTGTGTGTGTGGGCTCAGTGTGGGGTGTGTGTGGGCTCAGTGTGGGGTGGGGTGTGGTGTGGGCTCAGTGTGGGGTGTGTGTGGGCTCAGTGTGGGGTGTGTGTGGGCTCAGTGTGGGGTGGGGTGTGTGTGGGCTCAGTGTGGGGTGTGTGTGGGCTCAGTGTGGGTGGGGGTGTGTGGGCTCAGTGTGGGTGTGTGTGGGCTCAGTGTGGGGTGTGTGTGGGCTCAGTGTGGGGTGTGTGTGGGCTCAGTGTGGGGTGTGTGTGGGCTCAGTGGGGGTGTGTGTGGGCTCAGTGTGGGGTGTGTGTGGGCTCAGTGTGGGGTGTGTGTGGGCTCAGTGTGGGGTGTGTGTGGGCTCAGTGTGGGGTGGGGTGTGTGTGGGCTCAGTGTGGGTGGGGTGTGTGTGGCTCAGTGTGGGGTGTGTGTGGGCTCAGTGTGGGGTGTGTGTGGGCTCAGTGTGGGGTGTTGTGGGCTTCAGTGTGGGGTGGGGTGTGTGTGGGCTCAGTGTGGGGTGGGGTGTGTGTGGGCTCAGTGTGGGGTGGGGTGTGTGTGGGCTCAGTGTGGGGTGGGGTGTGTGTGGGCTCAGTGTGGGGTGGGTGTGTGTGGGCTCAGTGTGGGTGGGGTGTGTGTGGGCTCAGTGTGGGGTGGGGTGTGTTGTGGCTCAGTGTGGGGTGTGTGTGGGCTCAGTGTGGGGTGGGGTGTGTGTGGGCTCAGTGTGGGTGTGTGTGGGCTCAGTGTGGGGTGTGTGTGGGCTCAGTGTGGGGTGTGTGTGGGCTCAGTGTGGGGTGGGGTGTGTGTGGGCTCAGTGTGGGGTGTGTGTGGGCTCAGTGTGGGGGTGTGTGGGCTCAGTGTGGGGTGTGTGTGGGCTCAGTGTGGGGTGGGGTGTGTGTGGCTCAGTGTGGGGTGTGTGTGGGCTCAGTGTGGGGTGTGTGTGGCTCAGTGTGGGGTGTGTGTGGGCTCAGTGTGGGGTGGGGTGTGTGTGGGCTCAGTGTGGGGTGTGTGTGGGCTCAGTGTGGGGCTTGCCATGAATCAGGCGGTTACCAAGGTTACTCAAGCATCTAAGTATTTAAACAGCCGAAAGGTCTCAGCTAAACCGATAGCTTAGTTGACGGTTGCAGTTACTGATGTGTGAGTATGATGTATGAGTGTGAATGGAATCTCACCCGGAGCCCTGCCTCGGTCAGTTCCAGGCAGTACTTGTTCCCCTCCTTGGTTTCTACGTTAATGAAGGCCACATCTTCTCCGATAGGAAGGTATTTGGAAACTGACATGTGACTAACAGCAAAGATAACATCATTCACCACTGCCTCAGCCTCCAATCTCATATCCTTTACATCTGCCACCTCGAACTCGCTCTCCTCCCAGTCGCCAAAAACGCTGAAGTTTGTAAACCCCGACTCCTTCAGCTCTGGTGGATCATAGTCCATTTCTGGGAGAATATTCTCCCTGCAAAACATGCAGTTAAAATTAACTGTAACATTTCGACAATAAAAGTAATAATCCTTGCATTTGATATAGCACCTTATTACGTCTCAAAACGCTTCACAGAATATACTATAAAGTGAATTCACTGTATATTTGTGGGCGAAACACGGCAGCCAATTGCGCACAGCAATGTCCCACAAACAGTCGTGGATTGAGTGACCAAATTATTATTATTTTTTAGGGTTTTTTTTCTTGAGGGATTATTATCCCCAGAAAAGCGATCCGCCAATTGATTAACAACCGAGGTCCTACTTACTGCCAGGTAAACAGAGGCGTATGGAGTAAGGAAACTTGCCCAACATTTCGCCCTGCCGTGAACACTACCCAGGTCTCTCGCTTGCGAGACGAGCGCTCTAACCACCGAGCTACAGGACTCCATGACATTCACTGATCAGTTATCAGGACCATGTGCAGTAAATTAGTTTAGAGGGTGAGATAGGGGGGTTGGTATGGAGGGTGATCTAGGGGGGTAGGAGGGTGAAATGGGGGGCTATGGAGAGTGAGGTGGGGGGTTGGTATGGAAGGTGAGGGGTGGAGGAGGGTTATGGAGGGTTAGGCTTGGGTGGGTTGGCATGGAGGGTGAGGTCAAGGGTTCGTGTGGAGGGTGAGGTGGGTGTAGGAGGAGTTGAGGTGGGGGGTAGGAGGGTGAGTGGGGTAGGATGGTGAGTGGGGTAGGAGGGTGAGGTGGAGGGGTGGTGTGTAGGGTGAGTGGAGGGATTGGTTGGAGGGTAAGCTTTGAGGGGGCTTGGTATGGAGGTGGGGGTGGTATGGAGGGTTAGGTGGGGGAGCTGGTATGGAAGGTGAGTTGGGTGGGGAAGGCTATGGAGGAAGAGGTCAGAGGGTTGGTGTAGAGGGTGAGGTGGGGTTAGGAGGAGAGGTTGGGATATGGAGGGTGAGGTGGGGGTTGGTTTGGAGGATGAGTTGGGTATGAGAATGGAGGTGGAGTGGTATGGAGGGTGAGGTGTGGGTGGCTATGGAGAGTGAGGTGGGGGTGTATGGAGGGTGAGGTTGGGGCTTTGGTAGAGGGTGAAGTGGGGTGGTATGGGGACGAGGTGGGGGGCATGAAGAGTAAGGTGGTGTGTTAGTGTGGAGGGGGTTGGTTTGGAGCATGAGGTGGAGGGGGTGGTGTGTAGGTGAGGTGGAGGGATTGGTTTGGAGGTAAGCTGTTGAGGGGGGCTTGGTAGGAGGTGGGGTGGGTATGGAGGGTTAGTGGGGGAGCTGGTATGGAAGGTGAGTTGGGGGGGGGAAGGATAT